CTCTGGAGATTCATCTAAACTGTGTGTTTATTCCCTTTTATTGGTGAGTAGTATTCCATGTTACAGATGTACCACAGTTTGTTTAACCATGCACCTGTTGAAGGGCCCTTGAGTTGTTTCCAGTTTGGGGCTATTATGAATAAAGCTGCTTTGAACATGTATAGGTTTTTATGTGAATATAAATTTCCATTTCTCTGGGGTAAATGAGCAAGGATGCAGTTTTTAGGTCCATATATGTTGGTTTATTTATCATCCTCATTAGACTATTGACACTTTGAGGACAGCTTGTTAGCTTCGTTCACATGTGCATCAAATGTTCTTTGTATGTATCTGACATATGGTAACACTCGATGATATGCTCAATAAAATACAGAATCCCAGAAAGAAGGAGGGACGGAGGGAGTAGGAAAAGGAAAGGAAGGAGGACAGAAATCTTTGAGTATTGTCAGTTGTCAGCTCACCCCCCCTGCCCACCACCTCCCAACATCATTATATTTTAATTTTTTAAATAAACCCAGCGACCCCAGTGTGAGACAGTAGTTGCTTAATACCTGTTAGTTAAATGATACAACACTCTGGCGAGTAGAACAGCTCTCCTCTCCCCTTCTCCATCCTCCCATCACTGGAGTGTAGGGATGGACACACACAGACACACGTGTGCATACTCAGTGGCCAGGAGCCTAGGAATCTTTTCTGGAACAAAGTCAAGCGCTAACAAATGAAGTGCTGTTGCTTCGAAGCTTAGCTAACAACAACCTTGGCCATGTCTGTGTGACTGCCCCAGGAATTACAAATGAAGAGTCTGGGGACCCAGCAGCTTTGTGGACTCATTCCAATGAGAATACAGGATGCAGCTGAAATAAAGAATGCCTCTTTGTGACTCATTAAACTCTACTCTGTTCCTTTCTATTAGGCATGTGTCTGCCATGCCCTGCAAAGCTATGATATTCAAAAGTGGAAGAGTCAGGCAGAAATAAAAACATTTCACTTCAGCGCCCAAACCATGTGCCCCTTAATTTGAAATAAATCTGTGACAACTGACAGATAATTCTTTCAGACAGTTATGGAGAAAGGCTTGACTTGTCCTAGTAAATCAGACACAGGAGTCATTATTTTTAGTCTCGTTAAAAAAATGTTACCATAGCAACTGCACCATCATCTCGGGCAAATGTTCTCTCTTTAAGTCAATAACACAAGGAGCTGACCACAAATACCCAGTGCTTTGAAAGGAAGAAATGACTTTTCAACAAAATTAATTTCTTCCAAGTCTTCACTGTTCATCTTCATTCATGTGCCCAGAATTCCTCTCCTCTCCCCCGTGGAAAATAAGCAGTATTAAAAGTAACATACCACTTTATAAGACTCAAGGCTGACCTTTCTTCTATCATTAATTCTCTTAGCTCCTTGAATCTCATAGCTTCATATGTGGCTTTTTTTTCCACCCATGGGAAGCATAATGCTAATTAATTTGACCCTTGGGCAGAGCATTGTGTATTTTGAGAACACAGTGTGGAAAAGCATACTAGAGCATGCACATCTTTTCTAAACTCTTAAGAGATGGTTTTAAGTGATGCAGCAAACAGTTTAGTTCCTGTGGACTCTCATTTCATACCTGTGCAAGACCGTGGATGCTCAGGGAGCATTGTTTGGCTTAGTTTGACTCCATATTTGGTCAGAACTGAAATTGAGTGTTTGTGAAGATTTATTAATATATTGAAATTTGCAACTGTGATAAAGCTTTTACCCTCAAAATATGAGATTTGGACTTTAAAAATTAAGCCTAATACTTTAGATTTTTTCTTCTACTGAAAACATGTTGTTAATTTTAGTGTCAGATTAAAGCACCCCAAGTTGGCTGGGAAAGCAAGGTTGGTGCTTACCTATGTCCTGGTTTCAGAATGCTAGTGAGGTCTCATAGTCCCCAAAGACTTTGCTTCTTCTCTTCTCAGACTCACATTTTTTTTTTTTTTCACCTCTAATACCTTGGAAATCAGGATATGCTTAACAACTGCTGGTGTGATATAATTTTTTATTGGCAGCTTTTTATTTCTTAGTGGTACACATGATAATGATGCATTTCCAGGGAGGGAAAGAGAAACAACAATTATTGCCTGCTTATCACGTATCAAGCCCTGTGAGAAGTAATTTATAGACATTATTTTGCAGAATCCTCACATGACCCCTATGATGGAGGTATTTTTAATTTTGTAGGAAACTGAGACTCAGGTGGGCTACCAGACCTGTCCAAGATCATAAGTTGGCCAGTGTCAGAATCAAGATTTCAGTACAATGTGGCCGACTTTATGGTTGTGTAACCTTCTGCACTCTCTCTCTGATTTGTCCTCAGCTTCTTGTGCTCATAAAATAGTCTATAAATATTTAAATTCTGGAACTGGGAAGGGCCTTGGGAGTCACAGGGTCCAACCCCACTGTGTTACAGATGAAGAAACTGAGGCTCAGAGAAGTGACTTGCTCAAGGTAGTCCCAAAGGAGATTGTGCCACTGAGAATCCGCATGGCTGCGGGAGGGAAGGGAGTGTTTCAGGCTCTGTCAGTGTCTCCATCTCCTGCACACAGTGTGCACCCCAGGATTTCCCCACTTGGGACCGCCTTCCCTGGACCAGGCCTCAGTTTCTCAGTCACCCCTTTGAGGCACTAACACTTGGCTCATTCCTCTGGAGTCACGATCCCCCTGGAATTCAAGATGATTACTCACGTACACCACTTCTCCTTTCTTTCTACCCCTAGTGAACCTATACCTTGTGCCTCACCCTCCAAGGTGACAATAAATCCATGTAAATATGATCATGGAACAAAAGGAGAGAAGATTCTCCAGAGTCTATCCTTGGAGACATTACTCATATGTTTCTTTGCTACCTCAAGAGAGGGGCTTTAATGGTGGGAACTTCAACGTAGATTGAAGGGAAGGTGGCAGGCACATGCACACTATGGTGCAGAGATATTCCGTGGGTAGCAGGGCGTTTATTAGCCTTTGAAGTCACACTACAAACTCTCACTCTGCCCATAGAGAGGTGCGACACAGCCTACATTGCAAAAGGTGGCATCCATACACCATTCTCCTTTCCTACACCCAGGATGAAGTGGATGGGCCACTGCCCTTTGCCTTTAGAATGACTTCAGCTGCCTTCTTTAACACAACATTCCAGGTAGCCGCTTCCCATTAACTGTAGTTGGTTACAGGGATGAAATAGACCCATTTGCCATTCCCAGTGTTGTTGAAGGCTTTGGAAGCAGGCAGGTTACAAAACGATTGAGTTTCTATTTCTTCCAATGTAAAAACAAGAAAATAATAATTGACTTAAAGAATTGTTGTAAGGTCTAGAGATAACATATGTAAGAGCACAGCAGACTCCATGATACCTGGCACATAGTAGATGCTTAGTGACTCTAAATTGTCGTTCTTATAAAGTTAATGCTGACAGGGTGGAATGCATGATGCCACACCTCTGCATTATAAATAAGTTGGGGATTGTGAAAGAAAGATGCTCTTGGCCTTTGTAGTCTGTCTTTATTTTGTGACTCTGCAGACACAAGTGTGTATGTTTCAGGTCTAAAAGGGTTGAGCAGCCGTCTTCAGAAACAGCCCAGGATGGCAGCTCACTGCCAGTTGGCTAGCTCTTGGCCAGCAAGTTAGGAAGATCAGGCCAGCTGAGCAGTCTGTCCCCAGAGTACTCCAGTTCTGGTTATGCTACTCACAGGCTGAAGGGCTGAAGAAAGTCCTTTATTCCAAGCCAGTTCAATTTTCTATAAAACACGTGTAATAATTCTGGTCTAGAGAGAGGGGTGGCAAATTGATGGACTCACCGGGCATTGTTATCTGTTTTGAAAATGAAATCTACGATGAGCAGCACATGTATTTAAAGAACACTTTCCTTTGCAGAAAATGGAAATGGTTTAACTTCTTCACTTTGTTTCACTAGTTAGTTAGTGTGCATCTTCAATGTCTCTGCCTATGTCATTATTTACTATGATATTGAAACTCCTAAGGACAAAGATGATGTCTGCTTCATTTACTTTTTAGAGCATCCAGAAAAATGCCATGAACAAGTACATTTTTAATCCACTCATACGCTGTTATTGTAGATTGAAATATAAACTGTATCCCATTCTCCAAAAAGTATTTTGTTCTTATTTTAATCATTTAAGACCAAAAATCTGATGAAACATCTCTATCAGAGCAGCACTGAATGTCCTTACAGTCAGAACAAATGCATGCCTGTTGGTTTATTTTAATTTTAAAACGTTAATATTGACTGACTCTCTATTACAAAAGTCTGCCCAATGTAGAACGTGTGAAAAATGCTGAAAACCATGTAAAAGAACTGAAAAGTTTTCTTTAATTCCCATGCTGGAAGATAATCACTTGGAACATCCTGGTATTTTTTCCTAAATGATTCATTTTAAGGTGATATTGATATCATCTAATTCTTAGCTAATTTTAAGACTTTCAACATGTTTCTTCTCACTGTGATTTCCATCTTTTCAGGTAGTGATCCTGCATTCTTTCCAGCAAGAATTATTGTTTTGTTATTTTTCAGTGTATTGAAACATGTTGTCAGTTAAAGGAAAGGGTTTGCCATGAGCTGCTAGTCACTTACCCGTTTCAAAGGAAACTTGTGGTTACCATGAAGGAAAATTTAATCCATCTGCCACAATGCATTTGTTCTCTTGAGAACCAGGTGGAACTACCGCTGACTATTTCCTTAGGATTATGCCACCCACCAAGGTAACTTTCTGTTTCAGCAGGTGATGTGGAGAAACAAAACAACACCCTTTAAGTTAATCAGTTTTGGAAAATAGAGACTGGCTTTCTATTCCATGGCTTTGATGTGTTTAGTAGTTCCTGTAAGGATCTGCCTCTCTTTTGTTTTGATTGACAAGACCTTTTCTATATATTTGAGCAATCAAGCAGCCCAGTAACAGAAGGTAGAGACAGTTACCCAGAGCAAACTTCTACCATTCATTGTGACTCCCTGAAATCTTAGTGCAAGTTTCAGCTCTAAAAGAAGCGTTGGCTCCTGCAAGATTAGGTAAGTGCTTCTCCATATTTGTAACCTCATTCCAGAGGAGGGGAAGCCCAGAGAACTTGCTACAGCAAGGTCAGAAGTAGGAACTGTGAAAATAATGAATTCAGTGGGGGGTAAGGGTCCATGAATGCCATATCCTTTATACTTCAAAATCCAGGTGAGTTCTGTCTAGTGGGCCAAGCATGAAGGGGGTTGATTCTGGCTCCTGAAAGAGCACAGGGAATGACCAAGACCCAGAGAGGATGGACTTGACAGTGGATTGAGGTTACGTTTTAAATAACTCCTATGCTTTCCATCATTTGGATTTAAATTGAATGTTAAGTAGGTGCTGTTGCAGTGGAAGTCTAGAGCAGAAGCAATTTACAGTGAGTAGGACACATTTATGAATGGCCACCAACTCAGATGATAGGTTTCATGATATTTTCTGCGTATCCATGTTTAGTGGTGAGTTGGTTTAGTAGCGATGCATATAGGGAATACTGTTATTAATATTTACCTCCCAAATCATTCCCCATCATGACACTGAAAATATAGTTTTGAGCAAAGTATGTAACATGGCACCCAAATACCCTGGACCTGAATAAAAATAATTGATATGTATTCATGTATTCTGTTGGATTATGGATTAGTTTTGGTGTTACTCATATTTTATGTTTATTTTGGAAAGACCACTGGGACAAACTTCTTCAGCACACAAGTCAACTGCAGCAGTTAAGTTACAATAAGGAAAAGCCTGAGAATGCACTTGGAGGGTGGGCATCTAGAAAGGGCCATGGAATCCACACTGGCACCAGTTACAGGAATCGCTGGACGCCTGTGTTGGAGTTTGTGGGCATTTACAATTTCTGGGCTCATTTTCCCTGAAATGCTAGAAGCAAGGTCCCTTTGATAGCGACCAATGCATGGTTGACTGTGCCATTGAGGGCAGCCAGATCTGTTAAACTCTGTCCTTTCCCTCTCCGGAAGAGCAGCATGAAGCTGGCATTCCTCTTCCTTGGCCCCATGGCCCTCCTCCTTCTGGTTGGCTGTGGCTGTGTCCTTGGCACCTCCAGTGGGAACCTGCGCACCTTTGTGGGCTGTGCCGTGAGGGAGTTTACTTTCCTGGCCAAGAAGCCAGGCTGCAGGGGCCTTCGGATCACCACGGATGCCTGCTGGGGTCGCTGTGAGACCTGGGAGGTGAGTTGCTAAGATGTGCAGATGACAGTATCTTCTGGGCCAGCAGCTTGGGTCTGATTCTCAAGAGTTCACTTTTTAAATGATTTGAGGTGGAGCTGGGACATCTGCCCTTTCCTGTGGATTTAAAAAACCAAAACAAAACTGTGATTGGCATCTTCCAAAAGTGATTTGAAAAGCATGATGTTGCCCCTCTAACAAAGCATTGAGAAGATTAAGAATTTGGTTTACATTGTGTCTGTGTATCTAGGAATCATCTCTGGGAGGTCACGATGTACTGTTCTACCCATTTTACAGATGACATGGAGGGATTCAAGGGAGAGTGGCTGCAAAGTCACAGAGAGTGTCAGTGTAAAGCTGGAAATCAATTTGTGGTTCAAGCTTGTGACCCAAACTCCTCCCTGTGTTCCTTCATTTTGGGTAAATTAGCCAGTTTCCAAGAAAGAGGACCTGAGCTGAAGGGTGAGAGTTAGTCCCAGACCCCTTCACTGCCTCTTCTGCAGCCCTGTTCCTCTTGAAGTCCCTGGGAGCCCTCTGGGGTTATCACTGATGGATCCATTAAGTTCCTTCATATTCAATGATACCTGGCCTTTTTAGAGACATTTAATTTAAAGTGGGGATAACACTCTCAAAGTTAAAAATCCTGTTGGGCTAAGAGGAGCTGTCTGAGTGGTGAAGAGGAAGAGAGCTATTCAGCACCCCAGCAGATCACACTACGTAGTAACTGTGGGCTCTTCCCCCTGAGGCCCACCCACTTGGTAACTGATGAGTTGCTAGCTCTGATCTTGTCATGCCCTGACCCCAAAACCTTGAATGTCCACACACTACTACAGATTCAATTACCAAATTTCAAAGTCCTCAGCAATATGGCGTCTGCCTGCTTTCCTGAAGACAACACATTTTCTTACTCTGGCCTTGGTAAGTGACTTTCAAAGGTTTTATCAAATAGCCCTCATGGATCTCATTTTGGTCCTTTCCTGATATCCCTTCTCCTTCTCATCTGTCATTATCATATTTATTCCTGATGCCCATCTGCAGTGCCAGCTCCCTTTCTGGGGCTTTTTTGACTTGCAGGTAAGCCCTTGACTATGCTCTACTTTTTGTCTTACTTCTTCCCCCACCACACACGTTAAATTTTTTGAGGACAGGGGTTCATTCTTATAACTTTCACAGCTTTTGTCAAGGTGTTGTGTATGAATAAGGTATTCAATACGCATTTGTCGGTTGACTGGGATGGACCTGTCCCTGGAGCTGTAGATCCTCCAGCCTAATGGAAGGCCACTTAGAAGCGAACCTGCATTGTGAGTGGACACTGCCATTGGGAACAATAGCCTTCTCTTCAGGGACCCAGAGGGTGGCCTGCTCTTGCTTAGGTACAATTACGGCCCTATGAATGGAATTGGGTCATAGTGATGAAATCTCCAAATTGGATGAAACGACTCCATCAAAGTAGTTTTCTTTTTGCCTCATTCAGGGGCTTAGCCAAATGAAAATCGGGTTTTGCTAAGTAGACTTTGCCTGTCAATTGGTGGCAAATTCACTTGGGGCACTTGGCGCTGCCTCCTGTTCAGGGACTGGCCTGGCAGGGCCTCTCCCTGTTTGCATTTAGTGTCTGGGCTATTTGAAGCCCTCTCTGTGCCAAATCCTCAAACTCCTGCTTCCCCTCAATTCAGCCCATCTTCTTTTCTTTTTAAAAACTGATGAATGGCTTTAATCGGATCGTGGTCACCCATAGGAGGTCAGGAACTGTGCTCTCACTGGAAAAATGGAAGCACCAAAACCATTAAAGAACAAGATTGTCTCTGATCTTAGCCAGCTTTCATTCATGTCTTGACTGTGTTATGAAAAGGGAGGTAACCTATAGAAAATAAATAAAAGAATGAGGTTCATTTTCGCAGCAATCTGAAAGTTTCTGAGATATAAAGCCCTTGATTTTTTGCGGGGTGGGAACTTAACTGAAAGCATGTCTGAAAATAAGGGGCTCATGACAATAGACTGGCTGGATTTACATTTGAAGGTGGAGCTGTTGTTGAAAATAGCTATTCCTCATAATCTGCGTATAGCGTTGCCAGATTTAGCAAACAAACAGACAAACAAAATAAAACAAAACAACCAATCCCCTCCCCAGAAAAACCCAAACTGAAATGAAACCAGAAAACCAGGAAGCCCAGGTAAATTTGAATTTCAGATAAGCAACAAATAAATTTTTAGCATAAGTCTGTCTGTCTCATATAGTATTTGGGACAGACTTATACTAAAATATTATGTATCTGAAATTTAATTTTTTTTTTTTTTTTTGAGACAGAGTCTCACTCTGTCACCTAGGCTGGAGTGTAGTGGCACAATCTCGGCTCACTGCAAGCTCCGCCTCCCGGGTTCTGGCCATTCTCCTGCCTCAGCCTCCCGAGTAGCTGGGATTACAGGCACCCGTCACCACGCCTGGCTAATTTTTTTTTTTTTTTTTTTTTAGTAGAGACGGGGTTTCACCGTGTTAGGATTGAAATTTAAATTTTTTGAGGTGTCTGGTCTGCCTAGGTTCCCAGAGTACCAATGGTAAGAAGACATAAAGCAAATATGGATGGTAGGAGAAAACAGTTGAGGACAAATTCAGCTTCTCTGGTCCTTGTCAAAGGCAAGGCTGGCTGGGCACGGTGGTTCATGCCTGTAATCCCAGCACTTTGGGAGGCAAAGGTGGGCGGATGGCGAGGTCAGGAGATAGAGACCAGCCTGGCCAATATGGTGAAACCCCGTCTCTACTAAAAATACAAAAATTAGCCGGACATGGTGGCACGTGCCTGTAGTCCCAGCAACTCGGGAGGCTGAGGCAGAAGAATTGCTTGAACCCGGGAGGTGGAGGTTACAGTGAGCTGAGATCACGCCACTGTACTACTACTCCAGCCTGGGTAACAGAGCGAGACTCCATCTCAAAAAAAAAAAAAAAAAAAAAAGGCAAGTTTGCTATTTTCATGACGTTCATGCAAGAACTTCATCTTGAGTTACATATTCTTTTTTGCCTAGAACAAAGAAGAACAAAAAAGCAAAGGTACTGTCGTTTGAAAGCTTGTTATTATTTTCATTATTACTTCCTTATAATAATTGCACTAATAAGAACAATGGATTACATTTATTGAACACTTACTTTGTGCTAGACATTGTGAATTGCGTATATCATCTTACTTTATCTCTCAAACAGTGGTGGAAGGTAGACATTTTGCTTTACAGAGGAGGAAACTGAGTCTTCAGAAAGTTCAGTGAATTTTCCGAGGTCTCCAGCAAGTGGCAGAACAGGGACTCAAGCTCCATAGTTCTGACTGCAGGGCTCGAGATGTTAACTCCAGCGAGGTGCTGATATTTTTTCTGATCTATGTGTTCTGTTTATCAAAATTATCTTTGAAATTAAGATTCATAAAAGCTGAAGAAAGGAAATGAATCTTTTGATGATCAGAACAGTGCACAGAGTACTCAGGAACCTGTCTTGTAATGTTTTCTTTCATTGATACAATGACAAATAGTTACTGAAACCCTCCCGGGGTCTGTTTTAGGTACGGGAGGCACAGCGGGCAAAAATCTCTGTCCTAAAAGAGCTTACTTTCTCGAGTGGGAGGAATAGCACGCAAATGAAAGAAAGGTAGACTATGTCAGGTGGTATTGATCAGTGCTATGGTGAAAAATAAAGCAGGATGGGGGATGGGAAGTTTCTGGGCATGGAGATGGAATGTTGCAATTTTAAATAGGATGGTTGGGAAATGCTTCCCTGAGTGGGTGACATTCTAACAAAAACCAAAGGTTGGTAAAGGAGTGAATCATACGGGAGAAGAATGTTCCAGGCAGGAGGAACAGTAAGTGCAAAGGCCGTGAGCTGGGACTGTTCCTGCTGGGTGGCAGGAACAATAAGGAGACCGCTGTGAGCCTAGTGAGGAAGTCAGTGGGGTGGGAATGGTTGTAGGCATTTCAGAAGGTGGAGGTGTAGAGGAGGTGATGTAGGTCTTGAAGGTGATCATAAGGTCTTTGATTTTTGCTCTGAGTGAGATGGGAAATACTGGGGCTTTGGGCAGGGGAGTAATATGATCTGACTTATGTTTAAACAGGATCAGTCAGGGCTGCTGTGTTGCAAATAGATTGTAAGGAGTAAAAATGGAAGAGGGGAGACCAGTTAGAAGGTGTTTGCAATGACCAAGATGATTCATTTGCTGACTACGCATGGAGCACTTGCTGTGTGCCATGGTCTCTCCTGGGAGCTTAGGATATAGTCTTGAATGAAATCAGCTTCTTGCTTTCAGGAGTTTGTTTTCTACTGGGAGATGATAGAGCAACAAGTAAATCAATGAATAACAAGTTAATTTCTGATAGTGATAAATGATACTAAAAAACTGAAACCAGATCATATGTTCTAATGAATTCCCTGCTTTCTATCTGTGGGGACAGAAACCCATTCTGGAACCCCCCTATATTGAAGCCCATCATCGAGTCTGTACCTACAACGAGACCAAACAGGTGACCGTCAAGCTGCCCAACTGTGCCCCGGGAGTCGACCCCTTCTACACCTATCCCGTGGCCGTCCGCTGTGACTGCGGAACCTGCTCCACTGCCACCACGGAGTGTGAGACCATCTGAGGCCCGCATGGTCTGCAGAGCGCAGCTAGCGGCCTCAGCCTCACAGACCCACCTGTGTGAGCAGCACATGCAGTTATACTTCCTGGATGCAAGACTGTTTAATGTCGACTATACCCATGGAGGAGGTTACCTGTTGACCCTGAGGTCCAGCTCAGGCAAAAGGCCCAAATGCAGCCTACTGATGCTAAAAATTCGAAACAATATTCATGCCTTCACCAAAATAATTTCTCCACTTCACACACCTGCAAATTAATTTTTCTTTGCCTTGAGTCTTGGAACATAATTTGTGTATCACAATCCTCCCCCAATTTGGACTTATAATATGCTAATGATTTAAACACATTGGATGTAATTAGAAAATGGGGCTGGAAAGTCTTTAAATTCTCATGTTCTATTTAACCACTGATCTCCAACCGGATTTATGATTAAAGGGCTAGAAATGAACAAAACCCATGTACTAGTCTTCCTCACCCCCGAGGAATTCCAACTGCAAGCTTCTTTAGGGAAAATGCTCCCTTCCCCTTTTAACTGAGCAATTATCTACACAAGAAATAAGACTGTTCAGATATACAAAGAGAGCAGCTTCAATGAAGAGATGTTTGGATTTGGATAATTATTTTCCCTAGCAAAATTCCCTAAACTCCCTTAAGAGCCTTAATAAAGAGGCTATGGTGGGATTGAAAGAAAAAAAATACCCAGAAATAAAATATGTAACTAATAGCTATCTCATTTAGCCTTAAAAAGTTATTAAACTCACGTTTTAGAGTATGATGTTCTCCCAAAGCTATGGCAAAATGGCCAATCACATGTATTCTTCCCGATTTATCATATTTTAAATTTAAGTTGTAACTTACTAAACTCTGAAATTTTACATGCTTTTAGGGGTAAAACTGCATCGCTGGCTCAGAGGAAAAAGTCTGTGATTTTCTAGCTCCTGCCTTCTCTGAAATCTTACAGTAGCTAATTCTGTGGCTGGAAAAAACCTCCAGAACTCTAATGTTATGCAAATGTCTTTAATTCTGGCATTTTTGGGGTTGAATTTAACCTTGTTCCTTTTTCATAATGTGCCAGGAAAACCTATATTAATGCCAATAAAGCATGTCCTCTGTCTTTTGAATTCATGACAACTTTCAAGAAAGTCTTTTTAATTTTTAGTACACTTGGAATAACAGTGAGAAGCACACCTCAAATAAACTACAAGGTTATTTTTACTGAAGCATTAATTTGGCACGTCATGTTTAGTAAGGGACACAGACAGATGACTCTGGGTAGCATGAGTCCCAGCGGTGGCACAAATGCATAGACATAGCCCTGGGAGCCAGGAGTCCTTCTTGAATAAGAATTCAATGAGTCCCCCTAAAACACAGTAAAGCAAATGTTGAGATTGACAGTCAAGTACTGGGATGCAGGGTGAACATCTGGGAACAAAAGGCAGGAGCAAAAGTCACCCAACCTTTAGCAGATGTGTTGGTAGGAAAGGAAGTCACTCTAACGTAAGAAGAAGGCAAGTACTTGGGGTCTCTGCTGGAACAGTGGGTGATGATTAGGGATGAATCCTGGGTGGTGCCACTCAAGTGTTTTCAACCCACCCCTAAAGACTTTCCTCAATTTTCTGAGGCACAAAGGGCTTGCCAGGATTTGAGAAAAGATGACCACAGCATGAATAAGGGTCCTGGCAGGAAACCAGTGATCTATTGCAGTGGGATACGGAAGAGATGATTTATAAATGTGTGAGCAGAATTAAGGAAACCAGCAAGTGGGGATGAAACAGATCTGGTTCAGCAGCAATGGACAACCCTAGGCTGAAGGAACGAGAGGAGGGAGTGATTGTCAGACCCCAGAGAAAACTGTAGAAGTGAGATCCACGACAGGAGCTGCAGCCTTTGGTAGGAGGATGCAGCCCTTCCCAAACTGAGACCTGGTAGGGAGGGAGGTGGGGGAGCAGATACCCATCCTCACTCTCCTCCCTGGTCTTCTGTTGAATGAAATGGGAATCAAGTCGGGTGTGATGGCTCATTCCTGTAATCCTAGCACTTTGGGAGGCCAAGGTGGAAGAATTACAACATGGTGAGACCCTGTCTCTTCAAAAAATAAAAATAAAAAAATTAGCTGGGTATGGTGGTGTGCACCTGTACTCCCAACTACTCGGGCGGCTGAGGTGGGAGGATCCCTTGAGACTGGGAGGTCAAGGCTGCAAATGAGCTGTGATCGTGCCACTGCACGCCAGCCTGAATGACAGAGCAAGACCCCATCTCTAAAAAAAAAAAAAGAAAAAGAAAAAGAAAAAGAAAAAAACACGTGGGAATCAAATGGGAAAGCAGAGAGTGAGAAAACCCATTGATTCAGTCCATAAATGTTGGCCTGCTAAGCACTAAGTTGAAGAAAGGTAGAGAGTGGATTTAAGGGGCCAAATGAATAAACTCCAGCTTAGCTGTCTTTTGGGAAGCTCAGCTTGAATGCAGGAGGTAGCATGCTGTAGCATCACAATTACAGTCATGGGTCACTTAACAAGGGTACATTATGAGAAATGCATCATGAGGTAATTCTGTCATTGTGAGAACATCATAGTGTAATTACACAAACCTGGACGGTATAGCCTGCTACATAGCTAAGTATAGCTTATCGCTGCTAGGCTACAAATCTGTACAGCAGATTACTATACTGAATGCTGTAGGCAACTGTAAAACAATGGTAGGTATCTGTGTATCTAAACATAGAACAAGTACAGAAAAAATATAATCTTATGGGACCACCATCATATGTGCCGTCTGCCATTGACCAAAATATTGTGCAGTTCATGACTGTACTGACTGCCTTGTAGTAAATTGATCTGGAATACACATGGGAAGGCATGCACTGGCTAATACAATAACATTTGGGAGATATTGAAGACCACGGTAATTATAAGGACTGTGGGATTAGTTGGTGGTTAAGTGCAATAAAAGCCCTCAGGCATGATATGAAAGCTGATTTGAAGAGACTGTCTTCGAATGCAGCTGAAGGACAGACTGTGCTGAAAATTAGGCCTAATATCTAATTGACAAAGCAGCTGAATTAATAAAAGGGCTGAATTTACCACTCTGGCAAGTCTCCTATACTTAAGTCAAGGTCCTAATAGGGAAGAAGTGAGACATAGAGACCTGGAATGGGAACAGTTAGGTGGATGATGGACTCGAGGTTTCCCTGCAGGGGAACCTCCTGGCTCCTGCTTGCTAGTGGAGAGCATACTCCCCTTGCCTGGAGACCATGCTGAGGAGGATGCTTTACATGATGATATGGCCCTCCTCAAATATTGCCTACACCCCTGTGTTATTCTAGGTGGTTAATTATGGTCAAGTCTCAGGATGATCTGGCTGGGGAGGGACTTGCTCTGTGGTGGGAGGAACAAGCATCTCCCCTGAAGGAGCTTCAGGATTTGACAATGTAAACCAGGAGGAATTGGTAAAGTGTGCTTAGCAATGGATCTTGGGGGCTTAGACAGGGATATGGCGGGTGGGGTGCCAGAATATAAGACTGGATAAGAAGATTTCATCCATATGCAGGCATTATCAGAATATAATGTAAGCAAAAGGATACCTGGATCTGGTCCCAGTGTGCTGTTGGGCTGTGTCCTTCAAGAGTGGGAAAAATGGTGGCTTGCATTAATGAAAAGTAGATGCCAGAACTGTCCTGGCAGAGTACTGAGGAACAAAAGGCACTGAGAGGTGGGCCTGCCAGAATGGATTTATTACATAAGACCAGAGAACTCGCCAGTTGGCTGTTTTCATCTGGAGGGTTTAGTGGCCATTTCTTTTACAAAGCAACAAAGAATGACTAGTGAGGGGGCACATCTCAGAAAAGCTCGTTCATCACTGTCCTTTCTAGGCTGAGGTTGATGCCTGGGGAAGCTGCTGTGGAACTGGGCTTCCTGGTGTCAGCGTAGGTGATAGGGATCTAGGACAACAGGGACCAGGTGGCGACATACAGCTGTAAGAGACAAGGTGGGCATAATTGTTCTAACAGATAGCAAAGCTGCAATGGCCACCAGAGGGCTCTGATCTGCAGGATCTGTGTGCTAATAGTTCATGGTATTCAAACAATTTCCTCAATAGATCTATGTTATAATCAGAGAATTTATTAGTGAAAAAGAGGAAAACCTCTATCAGGATTTATACTGTGCTAAACCTGAATCTTTTTCAAGTCTCCCTTTTCCTTTCTCCCTCCTTTCCACAAATATTTATTAACTTAAATTTTGTGCAAGGTACTGTGTTTGGAAAATAACAAAAATATATTGTTACCATTTATGGATCCCTTACTATAAGCAGAATCCTTTATATTAACACTTCTTAGTTATTGTGTTAACTATGCTAGTAAGCACTGTCATTGTCATTTTACCACTAGCATTTTACAGATGATGAAATAGAAGCTCAGAGAGGTCAAATAACTTGTCCAAGGTGACACAGCTAATAAGTAGCACATGCTAGGTTTCTTTGAATCAGAACCAAACGTTTTCCACTAGAGCACAGTGCCTTTTTGGAATCCTCCTTACAAGTCATTCCTGCTTGGAGAAGTCTTTGAGTTTATCATCAGACTATCTCTTACCATTGATTAGCATTTCTGCCATCTTTCCTGGAGGTGGCTCCATGCAAGGTTGGGCTGTTTTATGGAGACTGGAACTTTTCTCTGGGTTTCCTATATAACCTCTAGGAAGATAGTGTTTTGCTGTAGCTTAAATGAAAGCTTACCATGGAAGAGACTGAGGGAGAAAAAGCAGAGCCTCGAAGGGAAATTCAAAGAGACTGTTGTGGAACTGAGGGATGTATGTTCTAAACTTTTTTCCTAGGCATGTGAGGAGTGGTGCAGGGGAATTGACTCTGGTGCATAAACTAACTCTCAGCAACTCCTTACTCTTGGAAATGTGTTTATTTTTTATTCTTCCATAAGTTATTGGAGTACAGGCGGTATTTGGTTATATGATTAAGTTCTTTAGTGGTGATTCATGAGATTTTGGTGCACCCATCACCTGAGCAGTATACACTGCACCGTATTTGTAGTCTTCTATCCCTTGCTCCCCTCCCACTCTTCCCCCAAAGCCCCCAAAGTCTATTGCATCATTCTTATGCTTTTGCATCCTCATA